CCACCTGGGCTGAGCCTGCCTTTGCTTTGAGACCTTGGGTGAGGTCTGGGTTTGGCATGCGCCCCCAAGCCTGTGAAGGGGTGTGAGCCCCACACAGAGCAAGCAGAACCCCATCCTTGGTGGCAGCTTTCAGGCCATCGGTTGCAATCTGCTCCTTGGTTCACAAACCACAGGGTAGACAGGGAGCCCGGTACCAGTACTCAAGATGTCCCCAGTGCAACATCTGCCCAGCAACCCCTACCCTTCCCCCTCTCCTATCTTGACAGCTTGTATTCCTGCCTCTCTCTCTGCCTCAGTTTTCACACACACCTTCAGTGTCAGAGGGTTAAGTGACTTAATCCCTCGAGGGAGGAGTGCCTGCCAGGGTGGGCATGGGCAAGCCCCACAGTCCCTGACATCACCCTCTCCTCCTCACAGCTCACAGCTATGGGATCGGCGCTGCATCCTGCGTGTACATGGGCATAGCGGCCGCCCTGGTCAAGATGGGCCAGCTGGAGGGCTGGGAGGTGTTCGCAGAGCCCAAGGTGTGAGTCCCACCACCTCCCTCAACCTTGAGCAGGTGGAAATGCCCCTAAAATTAAATTTGATGTATATTTGTGTGTGTGTCTTCCTTTTCTCCTCCCCTGCTCTCCGGGGTGAGAGTGACAGGCCAGCGCCAGCTAGGGAGCCTCGGGGTGGATTTGGGAGGAAGCAGGGATGGGAGCAGGAGATGAGGCACCTGGATTTGTTCCCCACTGAGCCAGAGGCACCAACTAGCCTTGAAGCAGGGAGCGGGTGTCAGGGGGCCGGAACCTGTGAGTGGGAGCTGGGACAGCTGCCCACAGCCCTTCCTGGTGCTCCCCTGCAGGTCACAGACCATCCTCTGTCTGGGCCTCCCCCCAAAGCCAACAGCATGCGGAAAACACGCCCACGGCCCACGCACAGCCTGACTCCAAATTCCTGGGCATTGGAGCAGAGAGCCCCAGATAGCCTGCCCCAGAGCCTTGTCCCCATCTGACAGGTGGGTGACAGGCCACTGAGAGCCTGCAGGGCAGGGGCAACAAGAGGAGACTTGAGAGCCTCACCGGCCGCCACCTGTCAGGCACAGTGATTTAGGCAGCCCCACAACACTGGCCGCCTCGGCCCCCAGACTTTGCAGAACTGGCTCGGTGCTTCCTGGCAGCTGGAGAGGAAGGCCTGGCTTGCTCCAGCACGCTGAGATGGGTCATAAATTAGGGCCCTCCAGTCCCCCCTGGCAGGGTTGTGCCCTGGCGGGGTCTGGGCTCTGCAAGTTGCCTTGGGGGCAGCAGGAGCAAGCCAGGCTGGTTGCAGCCCTCATGCACCCTCCTCACTGGGGCCCTCCCTATATCCCTTCTTTCTCTCACGTCCACCCCCGGGGCCTAGACATGGTTGAAAGCCAAACTTGGAGCCTTGCTTTCCTCTTCTGTCCAGCCCAGGTAATAACTCAGCCGGGTGTTGATCGGCTAAAATTAAACCTCAGCAGAGCACAGTCCGGGCACTGCTGCTGTCAGCCACTGGCCTGTCACTGCTCATTTTTTATTGCCCCAGTATAGCCACTCCAGGTCTCTTCTGGCCCTGACCCCCGCCTCCCCACCCCCCATGATGAGGGACCCCTGCCAGGAACGCCCTCCCTGGAGTGGGCACCAGCATCCTGAGCCTGGGCTTGGGTTCCCTGAGAAGTGGAGACACCCCACCCCACCCACGGGCTAAGGGGGGCGGGGCCCAGATGCCTGGTTGAGCCCTGAGGGTGCTGGGCTTCCAGACCTGCCTTCTAGTTCCAACACTTGGTTCTTTCCTGGCTCCACCCTCAGTTTTCCCATCTGGCAAGTGGGGTGTAACCGGGGCCCTCAAATATTCAGTGAGAAGGGAAATGACTGTACCCCGGGGATAAGCTCCCTTCCCACACCCTCTGGGGGACAGGCCCCTCTGCTCCTGCACCAGCCCGGTCTGTTCCTTCAGTGGCCGGCAGGGGGCAGAGCTCACCATGCTCAGCTGGATGGCTGGCCACTCCAAAGTCTCTGGCCCTGTGGTGTCCATATTCTGTCCCTGCCTCCCTGTCCACTTCCTCTTCCCATTCATCCTGCCCAAGTAAGCAGGGGTGACAAAGTCTAAGAATAGGTACCACAGGCCCAGACCCGTTGCATGGAGGACCCTGAGGGCTGGAGCAGGGAGATGCCTATTCCAGGACCTGTACCAGATCCGCCTGCACCTCCCTCCTGCACACCCTTCCTCAGCCTCCCCCACTACTTCTCCGTGAAGCCCAAACCCCGTGCCTGTTCACAGCCAGCCAGCCTCTTCCCAGCCTTGGTTTCCCCTCTAGACATCTCAGGCCAGGGACTGTGCTCACCACCCACCCAGCCCTCTGGTGGGCCGGCCGCCAGTGTTGAAGCAGACCTGCCAGGCCCCCCAGAATAGGCCAGGAGGGAGCAGCTGCTTGCTGGCTCCAGGGAGCCCCCAAACCCAGGCCCCCTTGCTCATAAACATTTACTAGGCTGTGAGGGGTTGACATCATCCCTGCCCCACACACAGGCCCCAGGCCCCCCACCCCTCTGCCTGGAACCCCACCTCCTGCCTTAGCAGCCCCTGCCTGGGGCAGTGGAGGACCTTTTCCCGAGCTCCCCCACCCCCAGGTGAGGGCGAAGAGGTCTTTCCAGATGTGCATGAGGGGAAGGGCATGGGGCAGAGGGCATGGCAAGACCCTGGGGGAGAGCACAGCAGGGAGCCATAGGGCCTTCCTTTCCCTCCCCACAGACACTCCCTGAGGGCCATGGCCCTGACACACTTCCCAGTGGGCCAAGCCTACAAGGACGGCTCAGCCAGAGCCTCTGAGCCCTCAACCCAAGAAAACGTATGTGATCCAAGTAAGACTAAAAGAGAAACCCTGGAGCCTTTCCCACCTGCCAGCTATTCATATTAGTCCTGCTTTACAGACAGGAAACGGAGGCCCAGAGGTGACAGGGCTGAGCTCACAGCGGCACGCGGAGTTGTTCTGTTATTATTAGCTACTGTTGGGACAACACATAAAATGTCTCTTGTCTCACAAAGACCTTCCAAGTGGGAGTGGTCATCGTGACTGGAACAAAAGCAGTCCAATGGGACCAGGGGACCTCAAAGGCAAAAGTATGCCCCACAAATACCTTTACAAAGTTCTGTTGGATGTAGGCGGGGGCGCCTGTTGGTCCAGCGGGGACACACGAGGCTATCAAGATGGCCCCTTGGGGCTGGGGTTTGCCCCTGCTTCCCTGGGCCCAGCCCCCACCATCACTCACCTGACCCCAGGTCTGGCTCCAACCCTTAGCCCCTCCACGCCCCCCAGTCCATTCTCCCCTCAGCAGTCACCAGAGAGAGTGCCTGTGAGCACCCCAGTCAGGTCCTGCCCCTCCTCTGCCCACAGCCCTCCAGGGCTCTCACCTTCCTGGGGTACAAGCCTAAGTTCTCCTCACAGCCCACAAGGCCCTGCACAACCTGCCCCTGTCCCTTTCCTGCCCTCACCTCCCTCTCTCCCCCCCTCACTCACTCTGCTCCAGCCACACAGGCCTCACTGTTCCTCCAACACCCCAGACACAGTTCTGCCCCAGGTCCTTTGCATTTGCCATGCCCTCTGTCTGGACTGCTATCCCCGCCAGAAGTCCCCACAGCTCTTCCCCTCACCTCCTTCAGTTCTCAGTTTGAATGTCACCCCATTGAGGCCTTCCTGACACCCTATCCCATGCCCTCCCACCTGGCCAGCAGGGCACCACATCCCCTGTGCCCTCTTCCACTTTTGCCCATAGACTTTCCAGCTTCTAAATCCCATGTCACCATCATGGGTATTGTTTAGCGGGAGGTGGGTCTCCTTGAGGTCTGGGACATATCTTGGCTGCCACCCATGGTCAGCAGTCAGCCAAGAAACAACAGGGCTCCATAAACGTGGCCCAGCCCATTTCCTGGGTGCCAGCTCTGGGCATGGTTCCCCTCCATGGTTCCCCTCCATCCCATTAGTTGATGGCTGCATGGACGGGGCAGAGAGAAACCATCCGTACTGGAGTCTCCAAGACAAGAGTTGGAATTCACCCACACGTGCTTACTGAGCACCTGTCTGTGCCAGGCATTGTCTCAAGCCTGGGGTCGGATCAGCCAACGAGGTCCCTGCCTTCCCACCTCCCCAGAGCTCAAAGTCTAGTCTGAAGGGAGACATAGTAAAACAGGCAGTAAAAAAAAAAAAAAGCAAACATGGAAATGGGCATGAACTGTGCTCGAGAGAGAAAACCAAGGTGGCATGAAAGACACAGGTGAGCCCTGGCGTGACTCAGTGGTTAAGAGCGTTGTCCCAATACACCAAGGTTGCAGGTTCGATCCCCTGCCAGTCAGGGCACATGCAAGAATCAATCAATCAATGTATAAGTGGAATAACAAGTTGATGTTTCTCTCTCTCTCTGAAATCAATCAAATATATATAAAGACACAAGTGAGGAGGTGAGGTTGTTCTTAGCTGGGGCGGGGTGGCCAGGGAGGGACCAGAAGAAGCCAGTCTCAGGTTACTTTGGAGGAAGGGTGTTCCAGGCATCGGGAACAGAGTGCAAAGGCCTTGGGGCTGGAACAGTGGGCTAAACACCGCCCCCAGCCCTCCCCAGCCCCCACAGCTAGGAGGCCATGCGGTGGTGGGTGGTGGGTGGTGGATGGCGGGTGGGATGGACCGTAGGTGAGAGGACAGGCCATCAGGCCTCTTGTCCAGGTGGACACAGCAAGTCAGAGCAGGATTTACTGCCTTGGGGAACGCTGACCGCCAGATGCCACAACATCCGACCTTTTGTTGTAGTGGGCCCTTCTGGGCAAAAACATTTCCCTCGTCCTGGCAAAGAGGCCTGGGAGCAGCACCAAGAGGGCTGCTGGTGGAGGGGCCAGAGCTGAATGCCTCGGGGGCACCATCCCCCTAGGATGCAGGGTCCCCATCCTGGAGGGGAGGGCGGAGGTTTAGGTCTCCTGGCTGGATCTGGTGGGGGGTCCAGCCCACCCTCCCACCTGACGCCCAGAGCCAAAGCTGGGTTTGTCATCACTTTAGGGGCCGGAGGTGGCGGCAGAGCTTGGCCAATCCCTACCCAGTCTAGCGTGACATCGAGGGCTCAGAACCCAGTGGAGCCCCCAGTTCCCTAGATGCAGATCATGTCGGGCATCCCTTGCCAGAGAAGACTTTGCCTGTGGGGAAACTGAGGCACGAAGTAGTTTCTCCCTCCCTCCACCCCCCTCAGGCAGCCCTCCAGTCACCTCCCTCCCTTCCTCAGGTCCTCCTTGGATTTGGGCGGCAAGCAAAGCCTGGCTCAGCCCCCAGCCCCATATTGGTACTTACAGTTTCCTCCTCAGAGCCAGCCAAGCCTCCCAGTGGCTTCCTGGAACGCTGGGTGGTCGGCCTGGTCTTCAGGGGCTCCCTCAGGCCTGGCCCCAGCGCATGTCTCACCTCCCAGGCCCTGCTGGGCTCTGAGCATTGGATGAACCAGAGGAAGGAAGGTGTGAGCCAGGCGAGGACAGGGCTCAGGGCCCATGCTAGGGCTTTCGGCCCAAACGGAGGGGCTGCAGGCAGACCCACGGCCTGGCCCGAAATCCCCCTCCTTTCACACCATCCAGATGCTTTAATTTTCCCATTGTTTTGTTCACAGTCGTCTTTCTAAAATACACTGTACAGTTGATTTTCCAATAAAACAGACCGGGCCACGGAACTTAAAATATACCAAACTATTCAGAAAAAAATCTCTGCCACCCTCCCTCCCCCGCCTCCTCCCCCCACCACCTGTGTCTCTCCCCAGAGGCCGTGGCCAGGTTTCTTATTTTCCCTCCAGCCATGTTCCATGCGAAACAAACATGTCTGTGTATTTTCTTTCCTCTGCAGAAACACATCACAGTCCCCGCTGGTTCGCAGATCTTAGTCCACTTTCCTCATAACAAACATCTCAGATCCCTTCCTGTGAAGAACTTTCTCTTGCTTCTTAACGGCTGCCTAATACTTCATCCTGCAGCTGGACTGTTGACCCATTAAAGCACGTTCCTTATTCCCAGGTTTTTGCTACTCTAAATAGTGCAGCCAGTGTCATTTTGTAATGGGTGAATATACTCACAACCTTTCTGAAAGAAATTATAATTAATACACTATTTTAGTGCCATTTTAGATTTATAAAAAATTGAGCAGAATGTATAGAGTTCCCATATATGACCTTACCCCCCAAAGGCACACACACACACACACACACACAGTTTCCCCTATTGCCCCAATAAGATCTTGCATTTGTGGCTACGTTTGTTATAACTGATGAGCAAACACTGACCCAGCAAACACACCGTCACCCGGAGTCCACAGCTGACATCAGGGCTCACGCTTGGTGGTGTACATTCTGTGGGTTTGGACACGTGTATAGTGATGTGTCTCCACCATGACAGTGTCACACAGAGTAGTTTTTCTGCCCTAAAATTCCTCTGTGATCCGCCTGTGCACCCGCCCTCCCTCTGGCAAGCACTGGTCCCTTTGCTGTCTCCATAGCTTCACCTTTTCCAGAAAGTCATAGCGTTGGAATCACGTAATTTGTAGCTTTTCCATACTGGCTGCCTTCACTCAGTTACATGCATCTAAGTTTCCTCCATGTCTTTTGGCGGCTCTCGGCTCATGTCTTTGTGGCACCGAGTAACATCCCTTTGTCTGAAGGTCCCACCGTCTGTCCATCCACCACCTACCGAAGGACACGGGGTTGCTTCCCGGCGTGGACAATTGCGAGCAGAGCTGCCGTGAATATTTATGTGCAGGTTTTTCTTTGGACATAAGTTTACAACTCCTTTGGGTAAATACTAAGCAGCATGGTTACGGGGTCACATGGAAAGGGTGTGTTTAGGTTTGGGGGTTGTTATTTTTTTTTATGTTTCTATTGATTTTAGAGAAAAAGGAAGGGAGAGGCAAAGGGATAGAAACATCAATGATGAGACATAATCATTGACCAGGTGCCTCCTGCACACCCCCAAACAGCGATCAAGCCCACAACCCAGACATGTGCCCTGACCAGGATTGGAACCGGTGACCTCCTGGTGCATGGGTCGGCACTCACCACTGAGCCACACCAGCCGGGTGAGTGTGTTTAGTTTTGTAAGAAATCATCAAACTGTCTTCCAGAATGGCTGCACCATTTGCATTCCCACCAGCCATGAGTGAGAGTTCCTGTTGTGCCACATCCTCACCAGCATTTGGTGTTCTCACTTCGGGTTTTGGTGATTCCACTGGGTGTAAAGTGATAGCTCATTGGAGTTTTAATTTGCCTAAGTATTTAAATATTTGTTGAGATTTAAATATATATTGAGCAACCCTCCCCCAACAAAGCATGGTTTCAACAAAGTATAGTTACTTCATGACTTCTTTGCAACTCAGGATACGAAGGAGGTGCTAGTACCCCATTTTACAGATGGGGAAACAAAGACTCAGAGAGGGATACTTACTTGCTCACAGCAAATGGGGGTAGAACCAGGGCCCTGTGGCTGACTCCAGTGTCCTTTGTTTTTGTTTTTTAATTTATCTTTACTGTTGAAAGTATTACAGATGTCCCCTTTTTTTCCCCCCATTGATCCCCTCCACCCCACACCTGCCCTCCCAGGCCTTCACCTTGGGCCATGCATATATGCATATAAGTTTCCCAGTTATACTCCCTCCGTCCAGTGCACTTTGGTCTGCAGTGTCACAGGCCCATACTGGGTGCTGGGGACACAGTGGTGATCAAGACAGACCCACCCACCATCCCAAGACTCACAGCCCAGCGGAGGAGATAGACACATGACCAGGCAGTTACCACTCTGACTGACCAGGGCTGCAGTGGGGTTGCACAAGCAGAGGGGGACAGAGGAGGCAGAATGGGAGTTCAGGGAGGGTTCCTGGAGAAGGGGGTACTGAAGCATGCATAGGAGCTTTCCAGGAGAAGGGGAAAGAGCAACCCAGGCTGGAGGAACAGCAGAAAGGATGGCTCAGAGGTAAGAGAGAAAGGGGCAAGGCCGAGTCCCCGCTCTGCCACTGGTGGCCAGTCAGCCCCTTCTCAGGGCCTCAGTTTCTACCCAGCCTCTCTGGGGTTTCCATAAGCTCCTGCGGTAACAGGCTCCGGTGGAGGCTGGCATCTGCAGAGCCACGGGGAGGGGGGGACTCAAGAGGGGCGGAGTCCTCAGCCCCTGCGTCTGCGGCTCTGGGGCTCAGGAGGACCCAGCACAGGTGGCCAGTGGGGACAGTGAAGGCAGCCAGAGATGCAGTCCCTGCTGCCCGTCTTCCTGCCGCTGCCCCAAATTGGACACTTCCTGCCCTGGGCCAGCCCCCTGGTGGGCTGGGACCCCTCTCCCCACCCCCACTCACTCCCCCACCCCCATTAGTGAGGCCGCCTGCTGTGGGAGCTTCAGTCCCAGGTGTTCCTGCCCACACTCTGGCCCAGTAACCACCATTAAAAATGAATAATGAGCAAGAGCAGGCAAGGCTGGGGGGATTGGCGGGGCAGAGAGAGGCCCGAGGCCCCCTCCCCATCCTGCTTCCCGCCCCGCACTCCACTGCAGCCCCTGGGAAGATCATCACAAGTCACCTTGCTGGCAGGCCTGCTGGCCCTCCTCCCTCCCCCCAGCTAAGAGTGTTTGGACAAGGCAGCTGAGGTTGTCAGAATAAGCAAATAAAAATACAGGCGGCCAGCTATGTTTGAACTTCAGGCATAAAATGAACCACCTTTTAGTCTATGTCCCATCCAGTACGTGGGACACAAACTGGCGTGATTCATTGTTTATCTGAATTCAGATTCAGCGGGACTCTCTCTGGCGCCCTTTTCTAATCCCGCCCGGAGGGACAGTGGGCCTCCTGCTCTCCCTGTGTATGGATGTGATTGATCTTAGCCCATCGGAGGGACCCTGTCCCCACGGCACGCTGGGGCCTCCCTGCCAGCTGTGCCTGGTGGGGGCTGGACCTTGGAGCTCCTGGGGAGCCCAGGGAGGCGCCCTGGGGAGGTTGAGGCCGAATCTGCCAACATGTTTGGGTTTTGTCTTTGGTTGTTTGTTTTCTTTAGAAAATATCTAATAACTTTAACTGGACCCCTGCTCTGCCAGGCACTCATTCCCCCACATACACATACAGTGAACGAGGTGGGCGATACCTGTGCTGTGGACATACTTGAATTTGGTGCTGGAGTCGAGACTCCAGAGGTCCCCGGGGGAGAGGAAAGGAGGGGTCACGTGCCCGCCTCACCTCCCTCAAGTACCCGCTGGGTGGGGTCTGTCATCTCTAGCCTTCAGCAAGGCCCCAATGGCAAGGGCACAGTCCCTGAGTCCCGAGTTCGAAATATGCCCCTCGTATTATATTATTAAGTGCTTTCTCTCTGCCTCTCAGCAGGCTGCCTCCCTACTGGGAATGCTACTACTACTACTAGTAGTACCTGACTGTCGGGGTCATTGAGAGAATTAAATGCATTATTACATTCAAGGAGCTTGGCCTGGCACAGAGTTAGTGCACACTTAAGTGATGGCTGGTCCATCCCACCTCCCTTCTGGCTCTGGAGGGAGGGGTTGAGCGGGAATCTGAGGCTAATTTTAGCCCTGATGACACCCCCTGGCTGCCTGCCTTGTCCAAACATCCTCAGCCAAGCATGAGGTTCAAAGCGTCCCCTGGCCCCCAAACTCCGACATCCAAGGAGCCTGTTTATTCATTCCTGTGTCGGAGCATTCCTCATCCGCCTGCGCCTGCCATCCCGCTCCAGCCCAGCCCCTTGCTCACCCTAGTGGCCCAGGTTCAGGACCACCTCACCTGTAGGCCCCTCAGAGACAGCCCCTGACCAGGCGGTCAAGGTGGGGGCAAGGAATAGGGTGGGCAAAGGCGCCTGCTGCCCCCAAGTCTGGAGTCTCCGGGGTCCTTGTTTCTAATTCTCCGAGTGAGATCCTAAGCTTCTCTCTGTGGCGACTCATTCCTTCAGCACCTGCTTATAGAATACCTGTTGGGTGCCAGGTCCTACAGGGGACCCAGACCCTGCCCCATGGGGCTCTGTCTTGGGGAAAAGTAATGATAAGCCAGGAAACAGAATTTCCCAGCGTGCTTGGCTCTATTCATTTCTTTGTTCGCTCATTTACTCATTTATTTATTCATTCAGGGTGTGTTTCTTGAGCCCCTCCTCAGCCGGGCACTGTTCAAGGTGGTCGGAGCTCAGCAGGGAACAAAGCAGACCAAGATCCTCCATGGGGACAAAGGCAAGAGACAATAAATGATGCAAAGAAATATAGTCTAGTTAAGTGGCAGTACTTACTATGAAGAAAAATAAAGCAAAAGCGGGGATGGGCAGTGCTGGTGGGAGGGGGGATAATTTGAAAAAAGTGATTCAAGAGAGAGATATTTGAGGGAGCCATGTGGATAACAGGAGGATAGAGTTCTAGGCAGAGGGAACAGCCATGCAAAGGTCCTGGGTTATGAATGGTGCGGAGGCCTACGGGGGATGCAGCAGGATCTGTGGGCTCTGCCTCTGAGATTGATGAAGGCCCTGGGAGGGCCTTGAGCAGAGATGGGTGAGCTGTAGCCTGAAATTCTCCTGCCTGACTCTCCCCTTGCCTCAAAGTCAGTCCCCAGAACTGGTGCTCTTCAGGTGGAGGCCGGCTGGGGCCAGGGTGGCCGCAGGTGGATTTTACTATAAGTGAGGACTCCCGAGATATTCAGAGAGCCTACCGATGGAGAAGGTGGGGGACAAAATCTGGGCACGTCTTCCACACGTGGCGTCTCCATATGCTCCGCAGGGCCGGGCTGGTGCCCAGCTGGCCCGCATTCCTGGTTCAGGTTTTGCCAGTGGAGGGACAGGTATCAGAAATCTGGAAAGCATCCTCCAAAAACAGAACAACAAAACCTCTGCTTTTCTACCTCCATGTCCCAACAGATCTTCTGCGAACGCTTTTCCTTTCTTATAAAATACCTTCATGGGCTCTCCTGATTCCAAAGCCACCACACACGCGCTCTACAAAGCCTCTCCAGAGACAGAGAAAGGGCCCTTTGTTCCCAGCCCCTGAGTTCCCTGGAATTTTCTCTCCCAGCGGCAGCAACGCACCTAGATGCTGTTGTTTTTTCACACACAGTTTTGCAATGGGCTTTTTTTCCACTTGACAATAGATGGCCCC